AAAACTTATCTTTGTTTTGCAGTATCTTGCTCATTGTCTTACAAGTGAATGCCTAGTAAATGTTTGCTAAATGAATTAAAGAGGCTTAATGTTAATTAACATTGAATATTGTTTGAATACACTAGAATTGCCTGCCCTGGAGCACATTTGATTATAGATGTATACAAGTACATTAAGGTGGAATGGATTGCATAGCAAGAAAATGGAATGGCAGGGCAAGAGACTTGGAAACATTTAGAACCCAGCTTTTAAAGTGTACTCACTGTTGTGTTTTCCTCCTTACTTCAATTTCTCAAACTAGGAAACATGGATCTAAATGCCTTGTGCACTGCAAAATGGGGGTGAGTCGCTCAGCCTCCACTGTGATCGCCTATGCAATGAAGGAATATGGCTGGAATCTGGACCGAGCCTATGACTATGTGAAGGAAAGACGAACTGTGACCAAGCCTAATCCCAGCTTCATGAGACAACTGGAAGAGTATCAGGGGATCTTGCTGGCAAGGTGAATCCTTAAGAGACTTTCTCAGATTTTCCCACCTTTATGCTCTCTAGGGCAAGGTGAAATGTTCTTCTCTGCTGGTAGTTCAGCCTAACTTAGATGTATCATATGTTTTGAAAATTGAAATCTCTATCCATTTTTTAAAAAATAAGTATAAGCACGTAAGATTAGGCATTTAATCAAAACTATAGACATTTAAGCTAAAGGATGGAAATATTTCCTTATTTCAATTCTCAACTAGGTACAGATTTTAATGAACACTTCTCCATACCTTCTAATGCCAGATGCAGCTGTCTTATCAAAACGAATACTGATTGCTCCCAAGGTAATGCTAGGCATAGCTGGAATTCTTAGAAATTTTTTTAAACCATTTGTTTAAAAAAAGAAAAATGCCTGCTATTTCTTCAGACATCATTTTTTATTTTTCAGTGCCTGTTTTCACTGAGCTCTTTCCATTGATTTTGGTCATGTGACAAATGAGCAGAATTGGGATATATATAACCCATTTGAGGTGTGAAGGTACATCCCAAAAATAGCTCTTTTTTTTTTTTTTCACATCTTTTAATCTAATTTTATATATAAACTCAATAGCCATAGAGAGCAGTTGATGTTATCTTATTTCTCCAGGTCTTATTCTTATCACATTTATTGATGGCTATTTTTTCACAAAAACTGTTCTTCAGCCTACCTCTCTACCCAGTACTTGTCTTTAACTGTAGCAGTGTTTATTGAGCACTAACACTGCACTTAACCATCACTGTTCCTTATTTCCCCCAGCTTTATTGAGATATAATTGACATATAGCATTGTTAAGTTTAAGGTGTACAATGTATTGATTTGATACATTTATATATAGCAACCTGATTGTCACCATAGCGTTAGCTAACATCTCCATCCCTTTAATCACTTCTTTTTTGTGATGAGAATATTTAAGATCTCCCTTAGCAACATTCAAGTATCTAATACAGTAATATTAGCTTTAATTACCATGCCGTACATTAGGCTTCCAGAATTTGTTAATCTTATAACTGGAAGTTTCTACCCTTTGACCAGTATCTCCCCATTTTCCCCAACCCCCACCCTTGGTAACCAGCACTTTACTCTGTTTCTCTGAGTTTGGCTTTTTTAGATTTTACATATAAGTGACACCATGGGATATTTGTCTTTCTCTGTCTACCCAGTAGTAGGTCTTGATCTCTCTGTATCAATAAAAACTAGCTGTTTCTACAATAATTTGGTAATTGGTTATAAAATGAGTAATTAATTTCACTATTTATTGCCCCCTTTGGTGGTGAAAGCCACCTTCATCTGCTCCCAAGAAAAAGATTCAGGTATTAAACCGGATTTTAAGGATCGGTTTCCTGAGATGCCACATACTGAAGTTCTATAGATACTAGATTTTGCTTTGTTTTTTCCATGTAAGCATGTTCTAGGTGGTTTTATTATGGTGAAGGCATAGCTGCCTAGAAGCAGCTGGGGCTCATGCCAGAGTTTGACTCCAGTGAGTCTCATGACTCAGTCTTGACTCTTGAATCTGGGCTGTGTTTCCCCTGAACAAAATGTTAAATAGCCTTCCAGCCTATCCAAGCAGAGGGACCCCATCCCACCCCTGAAGTATTGTGAAAATATGGCCACAGCATAGCAGTCTGGTTTCCACTTTAAAAAAGTAACCCCTCCCACTTACTCAGTACTTGGCATAATTTCATCTGAGCCGTTCTCTTAGGGGGCTGGGAGGATATGCAAGTCTCCTCCACTTACAAAGAATTTATAGGTCTTTGGGGCCAGATTTTAATGACATTTTTAGATTAGATCAGAAGGTAAGACACAGCAGTTCTTTTTGGCATCTGAGGATTGGTTGAGATATAAATATTGTATATTCTCAGACACGCATGACGGATGTTAGGCAGTGTCCTCACGTGACCCGTTGAGAGGAAGGATACTATGTGTTCTGCCAATTTTAGTATTTATTCTGGAATCCCAGGCTACTGCAAGCTGTTGTGTTGGGTTTTTTAGTGTATGTGATTTTTCTTAGATGTTAAAGGATTTTCAGAAAAATCTTAGATGAGGATAAGAAGGGCAGTATAAACCCACAAATCACTCTCTGCCTCTTTCCTTTCTGTTCCATCCTGCCTTACTGGATTTGATTCATGGAGGGAGGGGCAAGCCCTGGGGAATGAGGAAACCACAGAATTTGAGTCAATAGATCTGGTTTCCATTCCTAGCTCACCCCTTTGCTGCAACTCTGAGAAGTTAATACACAATTCTGATCCTCACCTGACCCTATCTATAAAGTGAAAATCAGGAGACCTACCTCACCGAGTTATTGTAAATAAAAATGTATATGAATGTACGTTATGTACTGTTAAAGGTTGTTCAGATATGATTCTCATCATTTCCTTCCTCCAGAAAACACATATATATGCGTGTGCTATTTATTTCTTCCTCCTTGACACATGTACATGCCATTTATTTGCTCCTCCTTCCTCCAACCACTGCCTCCTACCACCCACAGACACACCAACTCCATTAGAAACTGGAATAAGAAGTGGTCCTGGAATTGCATGTATCATGTTATCTCCTGGATTTTAAGAACTAGAATCCAGTACTGGGGTTATTACTTAGGCTGCTTTCAGCTGCAAATAATAAAATACCTCTATCAATTGGGATCTCAAGAAGAAACTGTGTACTTGGGTTAGGATTATTTGAGGAGGGTTTTATAAAGGGACTGTTTACAAAGGCGTGGGATTGAAGTGGAATCGAGGGACTTGTATCAGGAGAGCCCTTTGGTAATAGCTTCTTAGGCCCAAAGAGGGAGCATTTCTAGAACCTAGAAGGCAAGTTTTGGAGAGAAAGGTGCCTTCAGAGAAGAGCAATAACCTTCAATTAAGGAACACAGCCAGCCTGAAGTGACCCTGCAGAGAGGGAGCTAGGGAAATAAATGATCTGCCTTTACTCTCCTCCCTCCAGTCTCCTGCCGGGGTATCCTACTAGCCAAAGCCTGCGGAAGTCAGAAGACTAGGGGGCCTGTTGATGGTGTCCATAGATCAACTTTGAGGGCAGATAACAGGGTAGAAAAGCTGAAGAGTGGATCTGCAGGGTCAAACAAGATATCTGGCCTAACACCCAGCTATAGGTAGTTTAAAAAGTTGGACCATTTAACATCACTTGTAACAAGAAACACAGAAGTAGACTCTAATGGCTCAGTGATATAATCAGGGACTTTGATACTCTCTATCTTTCTGTTCTACCTTCCTGGGTAAATGGTTTGGTCCTTGAACTTGTCTCCTCAGGATTGACAGATATCTGCCACATTTCTGGGCATCTACATGTAAATTCCACAGCATCTGGCTGAATGAATGGGCGTTTCAATTACAGTGGGAAGACCTTTCCCAGAAGCTCCCCAGTAGACTTCCCCTACAGGACTCATTGGCCAAAACTCGGTAATATGCCTAAAACTAATCACTGGCCAGAAAAATAGAATTTCCTGGGCTGGCTTAAACAAATTCACATTTACTCTTTGGTACTTGGGAAGTGCCACATTTCCCGAACCCTTGGGACAGTAACACCCCAACCAAATCAGGCCTCTGTCATTGAGGAAAAAGAGTGGGAGTGTCTGCTGAGTGTACAGCCATTAAGGTCTGCAGTCTATGGTGTGTGTCAAAAAATGGCACTTGCAAGATAACCTGCCAAGCTAAATACCAAGTGATTGGGCCCAGCAGACTCTTGCCTAGCCCTGGAGTTCTGCTCCCAATTTGTTAGCTTAGATGAACAAAGAAAGAGAAGACCAAGACTCCTGTAACTATCCAAAGCTCTGTCAAGCTTTGCAGCTCAAGTAACCAAGAGAGGAAAGTTCTTAGAAAAATGCCACTCATTCTTTTTGCAAAAAAAAATTCTACTTTCTGTCGAGCTGCTTAGATCTCATGTTTCATATCTTCTCCCAGGAAGCATGTGGTGATTTTCCCAAAGAAATAGAGCTCTGGTCCTAGCATTCTCTAGCTTCACGGTTGTCCAGATGATTGGTTGGCACTCAGTGCTTAACTTGAGGTAACTTAACTTGGTACTTTGACCTCTTGGTAGAAAAGAAGTTTAGCAAAGTGGCACCAGGTCCTGTAGGAATTTATGAATTGATTACAGTCTCTTAATCAGAATATGAGGATATGGGCCAAATAGTAATAGCCCCCTTGAAATACAAGGGGCTTTTTGCATCCTTCAGTATGTCTTTAAGAGCCTGGAGAAGACTGATATTTAATATTCTCCCTTAGACTTAAAAGGGTATGGCATCACAAAGCCACTGATATTGTTCATATCTAATTTTATTTTTTATGTTTTTATAGCTGGGGAATGGGAGTGATGCAGGAGGGAGAGACGTGTGTGTGTGTGTGTGTGTGTGTGTGTGTGTGTGTGTGTGTGTGTGTGTTTCTCTCTCTCTCTCTCTCTCTCTCTCTCTCTCTCTCTCTCTCTCTCTTAACCTTCCATTAAACTGCCAGCAGCCCTGTTTGTTATTCTGCACTCTGATCATGCAGGTATCTGGCAGATTTGTGTTCCATTAGACAAGTTCAGATTTCAGGCTTTTGCAAGCTGGCCATGTGTCTGTGATATTAGGTTTCAGTGTATAAGGCAAGGAAGAAAAACTGGGTGGTAGCCAGGAAGGGTTTGTGCCACAGGTCCTCATAGATGTCAATTTTGATTCTTTGAACACCCCTGTCACTAGGGCCAGAGGCTTTGCTGGTGGAGACATTGAAGTCTAGTTAGCTGGTGCACAGTGGTCAACCAGCAGGAGGGAAACCAAGAATGAGAGGACATGGTTCTTGGTCAGGTGACAGCCAATCCTAATTGAAGTTTAAAGGATTTTCTTAATAGCTTTTTAGAGAAATAATCTTAAAGCACAGCACAAAGAAAATGCTCAATTGAAGTTTTTTCCCTTCCTTCTCCTCCTTTCTACAGGCTGCCTAATGCCCCAAGAAGTAACCATAAACAGTCTGATTTTACTATAACTGATAATCCATTTTTAGCAGTGTTTTCTTCTATATAACTTTATCAGAGTTAGTGCTCTATCAAACATATAATAAACAAGAAAGCAAGAAAGTGGAGGAAAGAGAATGGGATATCATGTGTATCCTGTCATTTAATTTCCTGTTCATTTACTAAGTAAAAGGCCAAATTCTTACCCAGAATGGCCCAGTCATCTCATGTATGTCAGTGTGTTTATGTGAATCCAAATTCAGGTCAGAGGCCATTCAAGGGGGAAAAGAAACTGAGAGTTGATTGCATCATCCAGGCCACAAACCAACTCTGAGGTTCTTTTGGCAACTTGTTTACTTGCTGCCTACCTGGAATAAGTTGCAGGAGTTGTCAGCTGAATTTAAACATTAACAGTTTAAAATAATAAATATCTAATGTCTTAATGTCTATCCCTACAAGTAATGGAGCATTATAATAAACCGACTTGGAGAAAGGCTCCACTAGAATACAGTTTGGTGTTACCGAGTAAAATTTATGATTCATACATGCCCTGTGACCCACCTTTTTGGCTTCTATATATAACACATTTGAGAATCCAAAGTGTGCACCAGGCAGAAGAATGTCCATGGCAGTGTCGTTTGTAATAGCCAAAACTGTTCATCAACAAGATGGATAAAAAAATTATGGCATATTCATTACACTCTGTGAAATTACAGCTGTACACATGTTAGTCAAAAAAGCAATTGTAGAAGAATACAAACAGTATGACTTTATTTGTATAAAATTCAAAACATGCAAAACTGAGCAATCTATCGTTAAGAACAAAACATGCGATAACTCTATAAAGAAAAGAAAGGGAATGATAAGCACAAAATTCAGGACAGAGGTTAATAACCCCTGAGGGAGGATGAGGAGGGAGGGAACCTGGAAGAGCCACGTGGAGTAGCAGTGCTTCAAAAGCCATGGTAATTAATATCTTGACTGTAGCAGAGAGCTGCCTACCACGCTCACTGCAGGTCCTATTATAAAAATGAAAAAGGAGGCAGAAGCAGACCGATCTTCAGATTGAGATATTTCTTTCTCCTTTACAAGTAAGTGTCATGTTAATTCCAGAGCCCTGACCCAATATTTTCTGATGATTATCTCCTCCAGGAAGAGAAGGAAATCCCTGCTGGGCAAAGCAACTATGATGTCAGCCACTTCCTCTGAAACACGCACTGTTTGTGCCTGTTTAACTTTGGTTTCTTATTCTCTCTTGATTGGTTAGTGATTTACAGGCAGTTTTAAAAATCATACTCCAGTGGGTTCTTGGGATCATGAAAACATCCCATTTGCCTTTTGCTTGATAATATGTTCTTTTATATTAGTAGAAGGATGAGAACAGCTATTCCCCGAAATGTCTTCCCAGTCATTTGCATGACAGGAATTGTCCTGCCATGGAGGCCAAGAGGAGTTGGTACACGTTTGAACATCTTTAAGATAGGTGAAGGATAAAAACTGGAGAACACACAAATTTTTTTTTAATTAAAAAATAAAAAAATTGGAGAACACAGTCACATTTAGGTCAGGAAACAAGGGTGTCTAGATATAAAAGAAAGAATTTTAAAGGGAAGTTCTTCGGCATTGATTGATCACAGTGTATAGTTTAGACCTCACCAAGCAGTCAGCTTGCTTCTCCTGACAGCCACTCACTGGTTTGGGATGTGTGATATGTTGTCTCCTCCTAGGGGTGGCTGGAGTTCATGCAGCT